ACCCCACAGCCCTACTGTGATAACCTGTTATACACATTTTACTGTTTAATTGTCCAGATGACCTTATGAGATAGTGATATTGCCTATGATGAAATAGAGACTCAAAAACCTTAACCTATAGCAGCTAGTAAATGGCAGAAGTGAGTCGCATCAAATCACCATGATTCCAAACACCTGTGGGTTTACCTCTAACACACTTCCTCCAGGGGGACTCCGGGAGTGAAACGGGGTGGGGTCAGGGAAGAACTTTTCTCTAACTTTTCTCACCTCTCCCTGAGGACTGTTGAAAGCTAAGGCTGCTTACACAGCAAACGAGTCATGGAATTACACTACCCTCCCCTTCCGATCTATTCTCCAGGCCAGCTTTAGCCCCTCACAAAGAGCCAGGCCTTATGTTCATCCTCGCCTGAGGATATTTTTTCTATTGATTTTTTTTTCCCTAGAGAGACAATGGAAGAAAGGGAGGGAAAGAGGAAGGGAGAGAGAGTGAGAGAGAGACACAGATGTGAGAGAGACACATGATGGGTTGCCTCCCGCATGGGCCCCACCTCAGGCACCCGGGCAGGACGGGCCAGGGATGGAACCTGCAACCCAGGTATGTGCTTCTGACCAGCAATCGGACCCACGGCACTTCAGTGTGCCGGGCCAATGCTCTAACCACTGGGCACGCCGGCCAGGGTACAGGCAGAAGATTCTTATTCAGAAACCCACCCATTCTCAGTAAATCTAAGACCACAAGTTTCTTCAGGGTACATATAATGGGATCCACTGCTGTGTATGAAGACAGTGGTACATTGTTATTTTTTTTAACTTATTCTAATAATGGGGGGGAAATTAAGCTCTAACAGCAATCTGTAAGAATTCACAATAGGGCCTTAACTTAGTCTTCATGATGAATGGTCAGAGTTCATTTACAGGTCTCCGAAGGGAAGAATAAAAATTGCACAAAATGACACAGTTACGTGATGACATTCCTGTGCTGTTATATTAAGTGTGTAATCTGATGAGCTTTAGTAAAAATGTAAACCTGCCCTAGCCGGGTGGCTCAGTGGTTAGAGCGTCGCCTGAGGACTCAAGGGTCTCGGGTTAGATTCCGGTCAAGGGCACATCCCTTCGCTGCAGGCAACCCATCGATATGTCTCTCTCAAACTGATGTCCACCTCTCTCCCTCTCTCCCTCCGCCTTCCACACTCTCTGAAAAGCAATGGAAAAGATATCCTCTGCTGAGGATTAAAAATAAATAAATAAATTTAAAAAAACCACTAAATCTATTCAACATATGCCAATCCAGATACAAACACTTTTTGAGACCTTAGAAAGTAATTTAGTATATGTAGGGCTATTTCGAAAGATGAGAAAAGTGCTTCAGAGTACTGAGTTGTCAGTTAAAAGGAGCCATTAGTTGCAGGTTTTAGGGTATGTCCCACAAATCCTCTCAGCGGACAATGAAAATTGTAAAACCTTGAAGGGTTGTAGCTCTGCTATTTCAGGTTGAAGATAAGCTTATCTTGAAGAGATCTGTGGGTGTGGCTTTTGCCTGATCGAGTGAATTTCTAATAAGGTTCACAAGAGGTCCCCAAAGAATTTAAGCGAATGGTATTTACAGAAACACTACGCAGTTAAGACTCAAAGGGAAAGAGAAAGCACAAGATTAAAAGAGGCCTTTGAATACCAGTATCTACAAACAAGCACAAAGAAGGGTGAGAAAACCACTCAGCGGTAAATATGTCCTAACTTTACACGAAAAGATGGCTCGGAGGGTAGAGCCAGTGTACAGAGGGAGGAGCGAAAAGCCACAGGGAATTATTCTCAGGCTTTAACTCCTAATCGAGAACCTGCTAACCTAGGCATGAATTCCTCCCTGTACTTGAGTCAAGCCTCATGTACAACAGCACACGCTTTACAGGACAATATTCTGCATTTCCAGCTGATGCTGTGAGGGAGTGATGCTTCGGGTGGCTCGGGAGGGAGGAAGTGCGCTTTGCCCTGTGAAAGACGCATCGCTGGGGCCGGGGGGAAGGTGCCGGCCAGCCCCCAGGAAGGGCTCAGTGTTCCCCACCTCCTGGCAGTGCCACCCACGCTGAATCTAGGCGGGGGTTGTCACCAAGAAATGAATTTCACAAAGGTGATGGCATGTTACTTCTCAGACTAGGTTATAAAAGAAATGAGCAAGCTAAAAGGAAACAANCCAAGAAGTGAATTTCACAAAGGTGATGGTATGTTACTTCTCAGACTAGGTTATAAAAGAAATGAGCAAGCTAAAAGGAAACAAGATTACAGAAATTATCCCTGTAGATATTAAACATCTTCTTCTTTTATACCTAATGGAATCATGTTTTAAAAAATTAACAAAAGAGAAAAGACATCGCTCCTTCACTTCATTTATACTAAAGAATAAANTGCTCCTTCACTTAATTTATACCAAAGAATAAAGCGACAGTAGAATTTCTAAAGGTCCAAAGTCAGTTTTTTTTGTTGTTGTTGTTGTTTTTTTACATAAAGGAGTTGATGTTTGAGGTTGTTGGGAATGCATATGTGCATTTTAANCGCTCCTTCACTTCATTTATACTAAAGAATAAAGTGACAGTAGAATTTCTAAGGGTCCAAAGTCAGTTTTTTTTGTTGTTGTTTTTTTAAATAAAGGAGTTGATGTTTGAGGTTGTTGGGAATGCATATGTGCATTTTAATAATAGCAACTAATCTTCAAAGGAGGGGGGGAAAATTGGGACTGTGAGATTCCATTTAGATTATTCACACTGATTAACCTTAAAATGAAAATCTCAGATGTCAACTGAGCACCATTAGGAAAAATTTCAAATAAGAGCATTTTCTAGCATGATATATTAAGCTCAATTACTTTTTTATCTTAAAAATCAAATAATTGGGTTCTTCTGCAGTTAAAAAATAATTTGTATACAAAAGTCAGACAACTATAAATCATAAAAAATAAGTTCATAGAATAGGAATAAACATTAATTGTTCTATACTGAAAATGTATTGTTAATCTAAAATGAATAGTTGGTATTAAACTCAAATACAGTAATGAAATGTGAATCACTATTTAAAAATTCCCAGTTAAAAAAATAATTTCAATAACCCATTTTCTTTAAAGGTGTCTATTATGAATATCTTATCACTTGTCTAGACTAACCATAATATTGCTTTTCTTGTTGACCTTAAATAATTTAAGACCCCCTGCTCTCTGAACAGGCTTAATAAAGAGGTGTAATTATTGCTCATTGCACATCAGCTTTAAAAGCCAATTCTCTTCAGTTTCTTCAAATATTTTATCATGAAGAAAAACAGACAAGTATAAAACAGATAAGAAGTATAAAAACAGTATCAATATGTTCTGAACATTGAATTTATAGTGAATATCATTAAATAGCTTTAAATTATAAAATTAAGTGCCCTATGAAAGCCTCCTACTCTTCCTGTGAGTTCTTCTACTTCCCTTTACTTGTAGTAATTTTTTTTAATTAAAATTTGTGACCAAAGAGAGAAGTAGGAAGTTAAATAGTTAAATGTTACTGACTTAGAGATTAATGTCTTTTAATATAACAGCTGTTATTAAGTGTGTCTTATTCAAAGAAGTTCAGATGCATGCTAAAGCCCAAGGTCAGGGAGACACCACAAGTGCAGGAAATGCTTATGTTGTCAATGTAGAAACAATATAATCAATCAGTGGTGTGTTGGTAAATATTTAACAAAACGCTCACCAAAAATTAAAAGCCCTAATTTATAGTGTTTGTCAATTTCTGTGGCATAATACTCCCACATGGCTGATTTCCAGCTATCAAAATTACCTAAATAAATCTAGAATTGGGAAATATGCACTAGCTACTACATAGGATTTCCACATATAGATCCAATAGATATAAATAAGCTCATAAGCATAGTTAATAGTAAAATATAGTACAATAACTAGAAAATGAGTTTTAAGTTCTGATTATGCTGTTAAAAATATAATTTGTTTTGTTATAAGGTATACAATTTAATTTTTTATTCCTGTGTTTAATTGCCAGTTCTTAAAATTCCTGAAATTCTAACAGCGATCGAGTATAAGCACAGCACTCCTATACACCACTGCATATATTCTATGCAAAAAGACCACCCAGGAATAGTAACTGGGGTGGGATGTAGAGATATCTTCCTGTTTTTGCTTTAATGGCTGATAAGAAAACATGACTGAGTGTCCTCAATAATCTAATTTATTTCTCTTCAATATTCTTCTCTCTTTCTGATTCCATTCTGGCCTCTAGTGGTAGCTGCTAGTACTATTATTATCAGCATTAGAAAAGCAATTATCAGTGGTCATTACTGTAAGGTTAACCATAATACTATTCATTTCTGCTTTCACACTATTTATTAGTACCTCCTATCAATCAATAAAGAGAAATCAGGTGAACAGTAATGGGACATAATAAAAATTCACTGAATTTGAAGCGAGAAAACTCACACTGTCGTCTTGAGTTCTACTGTATAGTTTTTATAAAAATCCCCCAAAGAAAACAACTGGGCTAATTATAAAAATAAAAGCGTAACATATTTGAATCTAAAGAATAGCTGACTCCTGAGCATAAAGGTGAAAGAATCCATTACGCATTTTCTTGACCAGCTCACAATCTAAATGAGCACAGGCTGTGGGAGGGCAGCTGTATTCAACAGGAAAAGATCAGTCAAACATTCAGATTAAATTTTACCGGGACTAAATGACTGACCTTTTATTATATCATATAAATAAAGCCTCAGTATCTTTAAAGTGAAGTTCATTTAATTCGTCTCTCATTAGCTTTATAATGATATATAGACACCAGCTAATGCCTGTTTCTCTTTACCCGATTTTCCCCACTCTTGGTATCAATGATTCTTTTTCAATCCCTTCACAGAATATGAAAGTGTTAGAGCTGAAGAGTGCCCCTAAGGCAGAGCTCCACAGCCCTGCCCCCTGCCCGGTGTCACGCAGCTAATCAGCGGCGTCAGTGAGAGTGAAGCCTCACCTCCTGGAGGACTCTCTTCATCTTCAGCAGCAGCGTCTTGACGGCCGTGCAGTCCTGCAGCATGAGCCTGAAGGGCAGCGAGTCCAAGCCCCCGCTCTCCTCCGCGCCTGGCGGCGGCCAGTCCGCACACGGGCTGCCGGGCACTCGGCCGACGTGAGGGCACCTGGCGTCCTGGTCAGTGTCCTTTGTTAATTTCAGTGAAAGGCTCCTAAGGAAAGAAAGAAACAAAAATTACAATGTGGCACATTCCCGGCAGTATGTTCCACCCTGTCCACCAGTATGTTCCACGCTGTCCACCGACGTCAGCAGTGAGCTAGAAAATATTTCCTTGGGACCCTCACACTCCCTCCCACTCGCCTTGGAGGATTCTGAGGCTTTCTGTGAAAATAGAAACGGGTCAACTGAATACGCAGCGGTGTGAAACTGAATGAAGGAATCTCTTGTAAGATGAAGGCAGGGCGGCCAGGAGGAGCTCTCCCCCACACCACCCGACAGGGAGGAGTGTCAACTACAGGCCCCAGGGGACGGGTGCACTGACTGCACTCCCGGCGAGCGGGGCTCACTCCTTCAGCAGCAAGGGGCATGTCTCCCGGCCCAGCAACTGGCCAGCCGGCAGCCACTACACCCTGAACCCCACTTTCCTCCAACGGAATTTCATCCAAGGGACCCCCTCCGAGATTCCTTCTTTTTCTCGATGAAGTGATGTCCCTCTCCTTCGTCTACTGAACTGCCTATAGTTTTTGAGATAGCATGCTTGTCACAAATTGCAATTCTCTGTTTTCCTGAATAAGCCCATTTTTTTTTGCTGGTAAAATAACTGGCTGTTTTATTTTTAAGATCAACAGTGGTAGGATTCAATAACAATCACCATTATAAAAAGTGATTTTTTTCCCCCCTCAGCTAGAATTTCATTTATTCACGATTACAATGTGTTCACACTTATTTAACTCTTCTAAAAATATTAAAAATCAGTAGAAATCACTGAAAGAGAAATTTCATATGAAGGTGTTCTGAAAATAGCTTAAAATTAACTGTAACATTAATTGGATAGCTTTTATGTATATTATTTCCCAAATTATATGACAAGCTTACTTAGTTACCTAAATTGAGAAAAATACAACAACAAAAGTTGCCTTAGAACTTGCCAGCAAGGTTAGGCAAGGATGCAGATAAGAAAAGATATCCTGTTAATTTTATTCAAATTTCATTATTTATACATAATATAATTTAATTTATAAAGTGTTGAATAATTAGTAAAGAAAACACATTTCTGGATCACACTCAAGTGTTCACTTGTCTTCATAGGTACATTAATTGGTTACAATAGTATTTACTATCCCCATTTTATACCTATAATGAAATAAAAAAAAGTTATAGCTAATACTTTTCAATGGCTGGCTATGGGCCAAGTACTATGCTAACCATTTCATATGTGTTATTTCAATCAAGTCCAAGAGGTAGATATAATGCATATCTTCACTTTACATATGAGAAAACTGAGGCCCAGATAAGTAACTGCTCAGAGTTAAATAGCTAGTAAGAAATAGACCTGGGATGACCCAACATGACCACTCTGGCAAGATAAGATTTTTTTCCGTACTAACCACATACTGTTCTTATATATACAGTGTGTCCCAGAAAACTGTATACACACTTTAACAGCTGATAGATCAATTTTGAAAATGAAATGTATTTTAATAAACATTGCTTTTATAATTATTCAAAGTGCATGTATACATATTTTGGGACACCCTATATATAATAATACTTAATGTATCTCAGATAGTCTTGCAAGGACTTTACATATGTTAAACCACTTAATACCTACAACAACCGTTTGAGGTAGATAATATTATAATTCTCATTTCACAGTTGAGGGATTTAAGTCTCAGAGAGGTTAAGCAATGTGCTGATGGTCACACAGAACAAAAGGAACAGAGTTGAGACCTGAATGCAGGCAGTGCACTCGAGCTCTAAATTACTACATGATCTGCATCTCATGTGAAAAAAATCAAGCAAATAAAAACACAAAAGCATGCCTATAATCATACAAATAATTAGATATTTTCACTTTTAAACTATATTTTACCTGATATAAATAATTCATTTCAACTAAACACAACTTACAGTGAACTATACAATCATTCTTAAATATTTCTATTTTATTTTGGTGTCTTCTATGCTATTTTCTCCAAGACCAATAAGAAGAATATAAAAATTAGAAGTCACATTATGTGTAATAGTATGTTAGCTATAATAGGATTATCAAAACTTTATCAGGTTTACGTCATGAACTAGCCTGGAACATATTAGGCCAACTCAGTAAGTGACTGTATATTGAAGATGAACAAACAAATACAATGAGTGAATGAATAAAACATAATTCTTTGCAATAATCTATACATACAATTTCCATTTATCCACAGAAAGAACTGTTACAGGGCTGCCTCCCATAGTTCAAAATCTCCCACCACTCTTACAAAAAATAATTAAGCTAACATTTTACAGTTCCTTTAGTTGGATTGCCGTTCCTTTGAAACTGTCCAATCGTTACTCTAAATATCAGTGGAGACTGACAAAGCTTTCAGAAACTGCACTGGCATGAAGTTCTCTGACTAGTTTCAGGAATTTACTGAGGTTCTGAGGATTATAATTTAGCACTTACAAATCTAAAGATCTCTGCCATTGTCAGTTAAAAATGGGCTACATACAACCATGTGTTCAGATGATAAAATCGGCCACCTGAAAATTTTGGATCTATTCTTAATCCCAACGTGACAGAACGACAGCATATTTTCAAAATGATGAGAGACATCTACATTGTGTCGTTGTGTCCAGCACAGCAACAGCCGTTGGTTTCAGAGATGAATAGAACTGGGTCACTGACCTCGATAGGCTCACCAGAATCATTAACTTCTTAGTAGTTGATACCAAAAAATAACAACTAGTATTCTTTCACATGAAATTTTTATCTCGAAACATTTTTCTTCTACATGAAAAACAGTTGGCTACAAGATCACAGTTATCAAAACCATTCTTAATTAGGCTGAGGCGGTAAAGGGGGCTGCTAAACAGGACTGCTAGTTAGCTGCCCTGGCCCGCAGAGCCACCCTGTTCTGTGTGTGGTCACTGTATTTCTGATTGATTAACGCCTGGACTTTACAATTGTTAAATATTTTGAATATCGATGTTTTTAACAATAGACTTTTATTGGGCGAAAGTTATGAAGTGTCTCTGGGTAAATACACCTGGAAAAAAAATCCATCCCTGTAGTTGACAAGAAAAGAAGAAAAATCTCTAATAATATGGAGCCCTGGTTTCCTCTAGCACAGATAACCCTTAATAAGCCCAGAAGGTAGAGCTAAGTTCAGGTGCTCACTTGTTCCTGCCTAGCAGGATTCACCAGATAATACAATTATGTACTTTGGGATATATGGGTCTGTCTGCCAACTCTCTGAATTGTCATGGTTTCAGGAAACTGAACAAATGTTCTTTATGTCAAAAAAGATAGTCCCTTTACTTCACACAAAAAAAAGATACCAAGGTCTGAAACAGTGGTTCATTAATCATCGTAACTACTGCAAATAAAAACAACGTAATTGCCACTGGGCTCATTTATATACAGTTCACCCTCTCTGTTTGAACTCCATGAATCTTCAGTAGAATTGTTCAGTGATATTTACACTTGCTTCCTTGCTTAGGATGCTGACCAAGTCTTTAAAATTCTTAACATTTAGATAAAGTCAAATTGCGACTCGCGTCTTTCTCAGTCCATAAGTACCAAAATACCAAAGGTTTTGAGTAAGATTAAAAGCAAAATCCACAAACATCACATTAAATGTATTCTTGAAGTTTCAGCCTGAGAAACTTGAGAATTTGAACCATTACTTAAAACATACAACTTACACTAGCTACTATGGTGAATTGGCTCTGTACTTTTCTTACTGTCCTTTGTGTGAAAGGAATTTTCTACCAAGCTAGTTCAAAAAGCTCTGCTGCAATTCTATTTTCAGACAAGTAAATAACTGTATATTGAAGTTGAATAAATGGACAAGTTTAATGGGAATACACACACACACATACATACACACACATATATATATGAACTCTAGAATGATTAAAGAATTTTTCCTTACAAAGGAGAGAAACCAAAAAAGTTTTCATATTTTCCCCCATTTACTTATTACTATCATTTCAATAGTGAGACATTTTCCCCATCCACAGGTACTCTTCACATCACTTGAAAACTTCCCAATACAGTGGCCAAAAACCCAGAGCATGCTTGTTGCCAAGGACTGATGCTCTTCCCTGTTGTAGGAGCAACTCCTTATTAGTGCACCGACACCTTTCATTATAGTGAATATCTATGGCCATAAGGGATCTCAAAGATTTATACTTTATAACATGGCTATGATTTCTGAACCAGATTTCCAAGGAGTGGAAAGTAAAGGTAATCTCTATTTGCCCAGCACAATAAATAAGCATATGCATACACCTGCCTTCAAAAGTTTCATTAAGTAGATTTTCAAAAAGGACCAGGTTATTTATGATAAATTAAATCCCAGCTTGAATAATTCTTAGATAGGCACAAAGGTATAAATCTGTATTAATAAACTGGCATTCCATAACCTAATAAAAACTGTCTATTAAAGGATCTATAGAAGGACTATTGTTGATGAAAAAGCTATTTTCCTCATATTTTCTATGAAAATGTATTGTTTATATGAAAGTGTCATTTTAGGGGAAAAAGCACATGCATTTTATAATCGAATGTTTAGCTGTATTTCTAGAAGGGATGGAACCAGCATCCATTCCTCCACAAGAGTACAGTGGTTGTAAGAACATGTTAACATTTTCCATTTAGATATGAATTTACATGTAAGAGAATTTCACACTACCTGAAGTTATGGGTAGGGGAAAGGGGAAATATGGGGGAAGGCAAAATAAAACCCAAATATCTTTACATAGCCAACAAGGTCCTCCATAATCTAGCAACTGTTTGCCTCACCATATCTCATTTTATACCAGCTGCCTCCTTGCTTTTTTGAGTTCCAATTTCACTGGCTTCATTCAGGCTCTGAAATGTGCCCAGCTTCATCCTGCCTCAGGAGCTCTGCATCTGTTTTTCTATCTACACGAAAAAGTGCTGCTTACCTACCCTCAGATCTTGCCTTAAATATGTCGCTTCTTCAGGGAAACCCCTTTTGC